GCCGTATTTTCTTGAATTTATTAATATTTAACATACCTATTCAAACCATATACCTACCTAGTAAACGACATTTTATTTTACTTACATTAAAATGATCCTTAAAATGAGCAATAAAATGGTGACGATGTTTTGATATCGCGCCGAGCTATTTTAATCCACTTTATCCACGGTGATAAACCTTTTCCCAGAAGTTTTCCAGGTTGTATTTGTACAAGGCACAAAACAATATTTACAACCAATTTTTGGTTTCACGTTTTCCATGTATAAACATAAACTTATCGGTGTTTATTATTTGTTGACATCTTGATTTCTGACAGCTGGTGAAGCTTATGACGTCATGCAATATGGCGGGAGTTCGGAACGTTTGAAAAGTACCTTTTTTTCAATTTGATATTTTGGGGCCGGGTTAAACTTTTGGAATATAAAAAAATATTTTCGCAATGTGTTTTTACCTCTAGATTACAATAAAAAGGTTTTTAGGGATTTTCATTTTTGATGCAATTACTCTATTAATATTTATATTTTTGTATACAATTTGTTCTCCTTAAGGTATTTAACAAGATTCTGGATTTCATCAGGTCCAATCAGCGATGTTTTGAGATCTTTTATTTTGTATTTATTCTTCACTGTTTCAAACTTTTTACAAATTATTATGTGTTTTAAAGTGATATTTTCATGGAAATTTTGTATGTTCTGCAGTGATATTTTCATAACAATTTTCTTGTAATAATAACTTGCTCCTGCCTGGTCAAGTTTAGACAATGGGGTAACTTTTGGTTTTATTTCATTTATTTTGCTGGTGGATTGGTGCCCAATCGTCATTTATCGATGGATAGTTTGTGTGCACAATTTTAAAAATCCTTGTGCAGGCAAATATTGTTTGCAGGATAGATGTTATTTGAGGTCGTTGTATTTTTTGCCAATTTGTCAGCTCTTTCCTTCAACCCCTGTATGAAAAGGTACCCATAGGAACGTTATGTTTTGGTTGTTTTGTTGGAGTGGTAAATGGTGCACTTAATTTTTTCCAGGAAAGTATTTTCGGGAATATATTGCGCTAAGGGAATCGGATATTATTAAGGCGTTTTGAGTATTTTTTCCTATTACAAATTCTAGTGCACTTTGTATTTGTTTTGTGTTTAGTGATAAAATTTAATGCTGCTTCTACACCAAAACCAGTTTTGGATGCATCTGTATAAAAAATAAGGTGGTGTTAAGATTCGTTTAGCATGTGTTAGTGTTTCTTTTTTGTCATATTTTGTTAGGTCTAATAGGCACTTTGGTATGGGGATAGTCCAGCTTGGGGGAAAGATTTTTGTTGATTTAACGTAGGTACTGTTGGTAATTTAATATTTAATTCTTTTAGGTAGGCATATATGCATATGGTGTTCCTGTAGTGTAGAGGTTTGGCTGCCATCTGTTTATATTCTTAAATTGCTTAGAGTCGGCTAGAGATTGCATTTTGATAGGACGGGTAGTTTGGATAAGCACGAGCGTATAATAGTGACTGTTGAAGTCTTCTTATCTTCAGTGGTGGTTCTCCAGCTTCACAATACAAGTTTTTACTGAGCTGGTTCTAAGTGCTATTATAATAAATAAAGGGTTTTTTAATTGGGACGGGTCGAAGTTGGCAGTCTGTGGCGGCCATATTGTTTTGGCGGCATTTGTTTAACCTGTTCTTTATTATTAAGTAACTGATGCCAAATCACCATGGCAAGTTACACGATTGAGCAGCACGTCCAAATGATAAAACTTTATTATCGCGTTGCGCCCATCTTTCGGCAGGACCGCCGCGTCTTCATAGTCGACTTTCCAACGTTTGGTGGCCAAATTCGAGACGACCGGTTCAGTAAACAATCAGCCAACACCCGTACGTCAAAAAAACGCCAGAGAACCCGAGGCAGTCAATTCCTCGCCGTGCACAAGAACTCGGCCTTTCGCAGACTTCAACTTGGCAAATTTTGCCTCGGGACTTGGGCCTGCACCCGTACAAGATCCAATTGACCCAGGAGCTCAAAGTTAATGACCATAGACAACGCCGTTTGTTCGCTAACTGGGCTTCGGAGCGTTTGAAAGAAAACCCCAATTTTGGCCGAAAAATCATCTTTAGCGACAAGGCGGATTTTTGGATGAATGGCTATGTTAACAATCAAAATTGCCGTATATGAAATGAAGCCAACCCACACGAAGTTCACCAGGTGGCAATGCTTCCACAAAAAGTTACCGTTTGGTGCGGATTTTGGGCCGGCGTACTGTTTCGAAAACGACGTTAATGAGGCCATCACCGTCAACGGCGACCGCTACAGAACAATGATAACAGATTTCTTTTGGCTCAAATTGAACGATATGTACGTGGACGACATGTGGTTCCAGCAGGACGGAGCTACGTGCCACACAGCGGACGCCACGGAGGTCATTCTGCGTTTGACCGCGACATTGTGCGATTTGACCCCACTGGATCTTTCTTGTGGGGTTTTCTATGCCAATAGGCCGCAATCGACCGATGCCTTTAAAGTGAACATATTCAGGCCATCGTTCAAATTCAGCCGTATCTATGCGGCAGAGACATTGAAAATTGGACCACTTGGATCCGTGCCACCGTGAGAAGCCGCGGCAGACATTTGAACGATGTCATATTCCATAATGGCATACATAGGCCTTTTAAATAAAAATAGAATAGCTATGTGTGAGGTTTTATTCCATTTCAACATCGACCCATCCTTATTGAAAAACCCTTTAGCTAGAGATGGAAAATGCTCGAGCACTTATTTTATGAGAACGCAAATTGAGCACAAACGAAAATAAACGAGAAAAACGAGAAATTTCTGAGAGTTTCTTAACAGCATTGCAAAATTAGAACATTGAAGCTTTTTTTTCAATGTTTCTTATTTTTCTCGTTCATTCTCAATATTCTTGAAAATATTCTGATTTTTATCAATATTCTCAATTTTTCCAATGTTCTCGAGAAGATTATCAGTTTTCTCAATAATTTAACAGGTGGTAAAATCTTTTCTTTATTCAAAAAACTGTTTTATGTTAAACCGTTTAATTGAATTAATAAAAAAGATAATAATATAAAAAAAATTAAATGTTAAAAAGGGTCGTCCATAAAGTAGGTCACAACTTGTAGTGGTTTTTTTCAGATAATTTGTTGAAAAATGTTAAATAATTGACAAGATATCTTTTAAATATTGTTTTAATATTCCAAACATTCTACCCTCATATTCGCAAACCTAATAACAAAAAAGTTATAGGCTATTTTTGATTGACGCGCATTTCTCAAATTTTAACGAATACAATTAAAAACTCGAAAATTATTCACTTTAGGTATAGGACATGGTATGGTAATTTATATGTAGAATTTAGAAATGTAAAAATATATAGGGTGTTTTATTTGAAATAACAAAGTTGATGTCACTTCCGGTTAAACCGGAAGTGGTATTTTGTTTAAAATATTTTAGAAAAATAGACTGGACCACGAATGTACAACACCCGTATACCCACACGATGTCACAAAGTCTTGACCCCATACCCTTAAACGTACGACGTACTTTATAGACGAACCCTAACTTATAAAAATGTACAAAAATAAGTCTTCTTAAAGTACATACAAAGATCCGGGACCGTTTTTCAAAATAGTACCATAATTTTTAAATTTTTGGTCTTCGAATAAAATGCTTAACAACAAAATTTCAAGCTCATTTTCCACACAGCTTTTGAGAAATAAATTGTCTGAATTTGCTTTTATATATAAAATCATAAAATTAAAATGTTTTTCCTCCTTGTATCGAACTCCACTAGCCTAAATCGGGCACATAGCCCGGCCCGGCTACAAAAATCAAGGGGTCTTAGTACGAACTCCTAAGGAAGATTTACCTGCCGGGTTAAAATTCGTGTCCATTAAACAAAGTTAATGCTGTGTAGTTGCAGGATACTTAGGAGTTCAAGAAATTGTATGTTATATATATATTTAAGGCTTAAATTTTAAGCGGATGGTTCGATACAGTTCGATACAGTTAATAGAGGTGGTATTTCAATCTGTTTTTTTTAAGAACAACATGTATTTTTTAATGAGAATGGAAACCCTGTTGTTTTCAACCATTCCTTTGTTTATTAATGTGATTATGAATAAAATTTTGCATGTTACTTAGATTTTTCCCCCTTATGTAAACAACCATTATCTGCGTAGAAGCTGACTTTAATGGGTGATGAATAAATATTAAAATAGCGATTTCGTTCATGAAAACATTATTTCGTTAAATTATATTTAAAAGCTTCTGTCACAGAAAAAGTTTTTAATGAGGTGAAAAATATTTCCTTCGATATTATTTAGAATTTTTGAAATTATTTGTTGCCAAACCGTATAACAGGATTTGAATTGGTTATATCAAAGAAAACAAATTTACAATATTGTCCGTAGTTGATCGGTACTGACGGAATCCGCTATTATTGGGGAGATTTTTAGCGATAAGATTCTTTGTAAGTCTTTTATTTACTATCTTTTCTATTCACTTTGAAACCACATTTTTTGCAAATATTTTTTCTTTTAATGTATTTTTCTATTGTAATGTATTAGTGTTACGTGTTACCTTATTCTTATGTTAGCCTCTTTCCGGAGTGTCACCGGTTAATTAAAAAATAAGTATGTAATTTAAACACTAGGTCTCCATGGACCACCAAAAGATACATGTTGACTAAAATATTGTCCTTTATTTTAAGACCATTTTAAAAACGTGTAAAACATTTCATATTGTGGATGTCTCCAAAAATAATTAAATACTGAATTTTGGATTAAAGCAACATTATTAATAATTATTATTACCTTTTAATTTGTTAAGAACAGTTTTTGAACATTTTGCAAATTAAGAGTAAAATATAATTCTAAATTTTGTCTTTATAGTTTGGGTGTTTGGTGTATACAATAAGAAACAATTAAAATTGTATCAATTTAGTTATATTACTTTTAGAATTTAATTTAGCAAATAAAAACTAATTATTTTTAGAGGAGGCTCCACCAACAATAATATTCAAAATTCCTTCCGGATCCTCCTCCATAGAGTCAGGAGGAGAATTGGCCATCTACCCGGGCACAACAGTACATTTGGAATGCATTTTTTCGCGACATCTAGGATCTCCTGATTGGACCTGGACAGCACCATTAGGAGAGTACTTGACAGGTTTAAAAATAAAATCATATTAATTAAAATATATTTCATAAATTTTGTATTTTAGGATGGGCCATAGCACCAGAAGAAAGAGACTGGAAATACAGACTTTCCATTTATTATGCCAAGGAACAGGATTCTGGAACGTTTACTTGTGCCACACCACGCGGTATAACCAACAGCCTAGTGCTTCAAGTTGCAGGTGGAAATACTTTAAAACCTTATAAAATATAAACATTGGAAATTTTAGCCATACATTGCGAACCAATAACAGAAATTGATAATTTGATGACGATGAGATCGGAGGGGACGAAATTGGGACATAAGGTTTATTTTCAGTGCCAAAGTGGATATCAGATCAAGGGAGATCACAATATAACTTGCCAATTATCTGGTAAATTTACGCAAGATTTAGTAGAACTAGAAGTGGAACTAGTAACTTAAGTAAATAAACAGTGATTTAATTGTTATTATTTTGTAGGAAAGTGGTCAGCAGCAGTGCCAACATGTGAGCTAGTAAAATGTCCCCTATTTGAAGAAAACAGCAACCTTACGGCCCTGCATCTAAAAATTGAAGAGCAAAATAATTCCTACGGTGGCAGAATTGTTTTTAGTTGCGATTGGGGTTACAGACTTAGGGGATTGCCTGGTATAGAATGCGAATTGAATGGGACATGGTCAGGATCACCACCTAAATGTGCCAGTAAGAATAAAATGTTCTTTTTTATTTTGATGCTAGGTCTACAAAATTTAACAAACTTCCTATTGTTGAAATTAGACTATACCTTCCGGAAGGTTTTTAATGGGCTAAATTTGAATCCGATCTCATTGCATTATTGGCAAATTCAAATCCAAAGGCGTTACATTTGGTAAATAGTATTTGGATATTAAAAAAAATCAGGTGGCGTAACGGGGTTTAAAATATTCAAAAATATAAAAAAATGAGATTTTTATTTTTGGTTAAGAATCTTTCGAAAACCTCATGTGATGAAGCTATTCTGAGGACAATTTCAAATTCAGCACGTCATAAACCATTTAACGGAAACATATAGAAATGAAGTTTTAATGCTCATAGGATATGGCAATAAAACCAGAACACAACAAGAAGTTTGCAATTTATATACTGCAAAGTATCCAGCTCGACATTTTACTCGAGCTCCCAAGTAGCATTATAGTGACTGATATCACCACTTCAATTGAGTGGCAATAACGTTTAAGTAACTAAATCACGATACAGTTAAAATATCTCCATATTATATTAGCATAGTTATAATCATGTGATTTGCACCAGCAGAATTTACTTTATAGTTTTATAAATTTTTGGTGTATTAGTCTGGTATCTGAAATGTTATGACCACTTTTGACACCACCTTAAAGTTGTCTAAACTTTAGGGTGGATTATGAATAGTAACTGTAACCAAATCACATCACTTAAGTATTACTTTGAAGTGGTAGTAGTAGTAAAGTGGGTATATCAGTTTTGGCAACGTTTTCCGAACTTTTCCCAAACCTTGAATGTGGCAAAATTTGATTATATAATTGCGGTGGTGATTGCGACGTACTTGCTACATGCTTAAGTGATTTCCACGTTTCGTATAAAATTACCACTTTAAAGTTACCTTCTTCAAAAGCAGGGAAATAAATGTGTAGTTTTAAACAAATAATTCTGGTTATTACCGCACCAAATTTAACACCTTAATACTAATGATAACAAAATTATTTTAGGCTTCTAGATAAATAATTTTCATATCCGCTAAGTTTATAGATTTTTTTTATTCTTTTTTATTACCACATATTTCAATAGGGCGTGTTTATATTTCAAGCTATGATACCCATGTTTGACAGTAAAATTTAATTCGTGTTAATTTTATGTCTTTGGATTATTTTATTTCCAGTTATTAATAACTTGCAAATAATTATTTGCAAGTTGCACTCTTACAATATTATAATTCAGTGTTTGTTTAATATCCTGTCAGAAAAAGCAAAGATAATGATAAATAATATGCTGGAAAGAGACGGGGATATAAAGAAAGATTAGTAAAGATACGATTAAGTTTTGGCCACTATACCTCCACGTAATAGTAACGTCACAGCGTGGTATTAACGTGTCTGTATACAATTCAAGAACGTTGTTGGAACGTAACTGAAACTAAGAAAGTGTTCCCCATTTTAGTCAGTTCCACGTAATAGAGCTGTTTCTACCACGTGGCAGAGCTTTTGGCAATATACTTTACAGTTCCAAGTATAAGTGGCCAACACGTTTTAACCACTATAAATGCTACTTGGGACGGTAAGTAAAATTGAACGGAAATTCAGAGAGACTGGACATGTAATAGTATATTCTGTAACAAGTTTGGAATATGCAATTCCAAACGTGTTTCAGACTATAGTTTTTCTACGTTTCCAAAAAATACCATAGAAAAGTCATTTGATTGGAAGAAAGTGAGGTTGGATCGGTATAAAATTTGTTATATATTATAAACAGAGATGTCGCCACGAGTGTTTATTCTGTCATAGGATGATAGAATATTTCATTCTGTAACACTTTACGGAATATATGTCATTCCATAGATAAAAGTGATAATAGAACGGTCAAATTCCGTAATAGGAGTAGAAAAAAGATATTCCAAAACGAGTATTAGTGAAGACACTAAAATTGACTTTTGTTATGTGTGGAAGATTCTCACAGTGCTTCTAGCCTTGTCGCAGCTGAAAGTCAAGTCAGCCAACGCTCAGTATTACGTTTTATGAGGAAAGAAAGTACCATCTATAACAAATTATACTAGTGCAGGAACTTAACGAAGATGATCCAGATCATAGACTAAATTTTGTGAAACTATGATGAATTTATGTAACAATAATTCACACTTTCCTCGTAAAATACTTTTTTCGGATGAAGCTACCTTCTGTTTTAATGGTATACAGTCAACCGTCTTCTTTGACTAGAATATGACAGTACAAACGTATTTTGATTTTTTGGAAAACCCTCTTCTTTCCACATTAGCAGAAATTTTTTCCAATGTGAATGGAGGTCCCGATCTACCAATTGATACCATTTGGTTTCACGAGATGCTAAATGCCTGGTGGCTACACTTTTTTGAGCATATATTAGCTAAACTTTAAATTCTATTGTGAAAAATGTCTAAAAACTGTTTTGAGGATTTAGTTAATGGTTGAAACATTTGTATTTTGACATTTTTTATGGTAAAATTAGTGAATTTTGCACATAAATAAAAAGTAGTTTAGTTATGTAGGTTTTTAAGTTTAATATATTGTGGGATATTCTATATTTTAATTAATTATTATTAACTTTTCAGTCATTCAATGTTCTGCCCCTATAATAACGGAAAGCTCAAACCTTCTGGCGACAGAAATAACTGGTATGGATGGTGGACAATATACAGTTGGAAGTTTGTTACAATTTTCCTGTAATAATTCTTTGACTTTAATTGGGGAAAGTACAATTATTTGTACTGAAACAGAAGTTTGGTCCCATCCCTTACCAATTTGTAACATAAACTAAATACAAATACCTACTTAATATCTATCTAGTGATACACAAAAATAAAAATGTGACCATAAAAAATATATCATAACTGTTAAAATTTATCTATTTATAATGAATTTTTAATAATCTTTTTGGGTACTTATGAACCCTTATATACTTTACCATATTTTATATTATATAATGTTGTTATGAAGTAGCCATAAAATGGATCTAGATAAAAATGTGCATTCCGAGTTTACACTCACCTACTTGTAAAATAGTAAAAAATTGTATTTGTTAAATTTGATTTATGTACATATATTAAAAATGGTTGTTTATACTTTTGTTTTAAGAATAAACCTTAAGCCGTAGTACGTAGCGTATTCTTGGTTGCATATCAACAGGATCAACCGTGGATTAGAGAAGAACCACCAAAGAGTTGAAAATTAAAATACGAAAGTTTATTTCCAAGGGTAAATCAATAAAAAATTCACAGTTTACTGCGATGGCCTAAAAATTTTAAATGCAAATCCTTTGTCCATCCAATTTTATTAGTCATGTACTCGCTTTTTATGACTTGTTTTATAATGTATTACAAATCGTTCTAGTTTTCTATTTCAATAAAAACTATACATCTATGTCTATGTTCATGATACAAGGAAACACTGCAACTTCGGTACCCTGGCGCTGTTGCCTGTCAATATGCAATTGTGTGGAAAATTTAAATATCTCGCCATTAAAAATTACAGATACTTTTAGCCAGAAAATAATATTAATTAAAATTAATGTAATTAGGAAATTTATTATAAATCAATTTATTTAATTAATTTAACCAAATATTTGGTGGCAGCTTGAACTTGACTATGATATAGTAAAATAATTAAATTCTATCATTTCATTATTGAAAATTTTGACCGAGACTAAAAAATCTGATTTCATATTATTTGGTAGTTTCCACAAGAAACCAATAGCAATGTAAAACTTCTACACTAATAGAAAAAATTAAATTATAAAAAAATTCCAAATTTTTTGCGATTTTTCGGATAGCTGTATCTTCGTTAAAAATGGTCGTATTGGAGCCGTAAAAAAAGCAATTTGAAGCTTGAAGTTTCTAGTTTTTAGATTTTTAGATGAAAAACGTGCAACGCTCAATCCTAACGAATACCGTAATAAAAAAAATCGAAATTTTTTTGGTTTTCGTTTTTGGTCCACGGAATGTTCTGACTTGACCACCAATGAATAAATGTTCTACAAAAATTTGCTATTGTTTTTTTTGAAAAAAAAAATTCCATTATCTACATGAATTTGAAAAATCATGAAAAAAGTGCTGAATCAATCGGCCCTTATTGGTTAATTCGGTAGTGGTGGCGCGTGCAAAGCGTGAGACTGTATTTACATTTACTAAATATCATTTAATGGCTAATTTTAGTCCATGAACTGGACTGGAAACATAAAAAATTAGGCAAATGAGACTAATCTTCAAAAAAAACCTAAAATATGAAAAAAAAAACCATTTGAAAAAAAAACAATGAAAAAAACCTGAAAAAACCAAAAAAACGGACCGGTTTTTTTCAATTCTCATCTCTAAATGATATTATTGTGTTTCCTTAGTAATTACTATTAGATTTAATGTTATTAATATTTTAAAAGCAGAGAGTATTATTATTATATTTATATGTAAATATATTTATTTATAATATATAAATAAATAATACATATAAATAATTATAAATACACAATACAAATAATAAATTTAAATATCTTACGCTTAAGTGTATTATAAATCTACGAAAAGTACCGACATAAAATACTTTTCCAAAGAAAGAAGAGTTAGCAAAAAAATGGATAATAGCTTGCCGTAGAGAAGAAACAATAAATTTAAAAAATGGAAAGTTTGGAACTTATTCTGAATTTCGTATTCAAGACTGCAACTACGATTACATATTATATCCTTGTATTATGTGTAAACATATATGTTTACTTTTTTTTAATTCCCAGGAGTAACGAAATTATAACGATTTTTGGTTTTGACAGGTTATTTAGTTTTTTTTTAAATTATTTTACAACCGCAGATTGGTTTTTATTTTAAATGCCATTTTAATAGACTTGTAATTACGCAACTCTTGTCTAATTTAACCAACCTTATAGATCTTCAAATAAAAAAGATAATAATAATTCATTTGTGTTATAGAAGGATACTTGGTGCACGTCATAGAAGAATACTTGGTGCACCTTGTATATTGACTAAATACAGGGTGTCCAAAGTTATCTGCTTACCATAGCTAACTTCGTTATTATTGGAGCTATAAAGTCGGTTAAGAGGCCTATTCCCTTTCGTTGAACATGCATGTTCATAATCTACATATCGTCGCCTTAGCAAGACATCCACCTAACTCCAATTTCAAGTAATAAAGGTTGAAAAATTATTTTAATTTTTAAAAGCAATAAAAATTATCTTTGGTCCTTTATTTATTAAAATTGGAATTAGACGGTTTTCTTCCTTAGGCGACGATATGTGCATATTCCCTTTCAATTATTTCGTCTATAGACGCATGCGCTCAAAGAATTTCTTAAACATCTATGTTTATATACATCATCGGTTTCTAATTTGCTATTTCGTTTTTAAAATTCGCTCCTTGGTGAACTTACATGATTTTTGAAAACGTATGTTAACGAACGCTTGCCGGAGAGGTGCTGTTAGCCAATATTTGGGGTTTTTTGATCTTGCATTAGGTAATCATAAATTGCGGCTATGTTTGGTAAAGTACCTACCTATACAATACCTTTTAAAACCTCTACACTAAAGAACACTCTACACCTTCGCTACTCATCAGAGTTTGAGTTGGACTTTCTCTTGGCCTCTTTTTGCCTCTCTGTTGTAGAAGGGGCCCTTCCACACAGCCTGTGTTAACCTTAAAGGCTGGTCAATGCAGAGTTCTCCCACTAACTTCCCTGGGTAGTAATTTATCCTCAATATCATTAAGTTGTTTTACTGACTTCCGGAAATTGCAGTCTCCATGTAAGAAATGCCCTTTTTCTTACATGGGCCTTCAAGTCACTAAAAGTGTGTGTAAAAATAATAATAACAAATAATATTTTAAGATATTTTAAGATTAACCTTTTCCATTTAAGAATGGACTTAATGGCCCCGCCAGAAGATCTGTTTTTTGGCTAGTTCAGCATAAAACGTTTTTTTAAGTATTTTTTTCTACTCCCACCTTTAAAACGCCCTTTATCGTACATGTTTCCATGACACTAAGTGACCTTTTAAATACACATTGACAAGTTGTGGTTTTAGGGCGCTTTAGTCACGGGCTGAAGTTAGCAACAGGTTTTTAGTCACGGGCTGAAGTTAGTTTTAAGTTAGTTGACAGTTGTCAAATGTCATACAATCGTTAAAATAAAGTGCCTTTCGTGTAGAATAATACTAAATGTGAAAATTATTTGGTTATCTCAATACAAAAATACAAAAATATTAAATAGTTTCTCAACGCCAATATTTGAAAAGTTTATATGAACATTGTACTGACCTTTTAATTTCGCCGGCAGTAAACTATAACTCAAATTCGGGCACGGACTCTACTGTAAAGTCCTCATAAAACATTTCCTTTACTTTCACTGTGAAAAACGGTCAATTTTCAAGATACATTTCGATTTATAACTTATAATTATAATTATAAAATGTAAAAAATGTGACTTTTTACAGTTTCCCCTGTTGTTTCATAGTTGTCGCTCTATACAAATTTTTGATTTAAATCATTTTAAGATAATAATAAGTATTTGTCGTAGAAAAAGTATAGTATGCACCTCGTTTATAAACTTTTCCATACACTCATTAATTTAAGCACTCGCTTGCAAGCTCGCTCGTGCCTAAATTAAATTCGTGTATAAAATGGCGTTTATCAAACTTGATACATAATATACTATTAGAATTTGTGGATTTTCTTAAGTTGTTTTTAAGTTCATTAAATATATTAAATATCACCAATGATTTTTAAAATAATTATTTAACAAAATTTAAGTTTACGATCTGCGACATTTAGGTTATAAAACTAAGATACTCTCCTAGAAACATTTATCGTTGTGGACAGGCCTTTCAACCGAAACGGAATACCCTTTAACATAGGTGATGTTTGGGTTGTCGTTGGGTGAACATACATTACAATTTACAATTACAATTTACAATTACAATTTACAATTACAATTTACAATTACAATTTACAATTACAATTTACAATTACAATTTACAATTACAATTTACAATTACAATTTACAATTACAATTTACAATTACAATTTACAATTACAATTTACAATTACAATTTACAATTACAATTTACAATTACAATTTACAATTACAATTTACAATTACAATTTACAATTACAATTTACAATTACAATTTACAATTACAATTTACAATTACAATTTATAATTACAATTTACAATTACAATTTACAATTACAATTTACAATTACAATTTACAATTACAATTTACAATTACAATTTACAATTACAATTTACAATTACAATTTACAATTACAATTTACAATTACAATTTACAATTACAATTTACAATTACAATTTACAATTACAATTTACAATTACAATTTACAATTACAATTATAATTACAATTTACAATTACAATTATAATTCTGTATAATCAATTCACGTTCGTTAGCCCAAACTAACTGGAAGTTTTTTATTAGTTTGGCTGCAATAAAAATTAACGCGTTTGTTTTTTGTTTGATGACAGCCATAAAAACCAATTAAAATGTATTCCGATTGTGATTTCGAAAATGGAACCTTAGTTAAAGCGCCCTTGTATTTCGAAAGAAAAAAACCGCAAAATTCACCAAGCTTTCCATAAAATTCTGGAAAAAATGGGAAAATCGTATCAGTGAAAATATTAATTTGACAGTTAACCTACCCCTATCTTCAAAGACCCCTTTACATCTTACACCGCAGAAAATTAAAGAATTCAAAGCACGAATCACACAGCAATAGTAACTAGAATCTACTTTGGGCTACCGAACTTTAATTAATATGTTGGTTCTAAATAAGTTTAAATTAATATATAAATATACAATTCTTAATTTAT